TTATAACTGTAATCGTTCAATATAAATAACGTTTAAATGTTTAAAACTATATTTTTTTCCAAAATTGGGTTAAGATAGAATTATGACAAATTATTTATTATTTACTGTAAGAATATTTTCATTTTTTCAATTACTGTTATCAAGCATAAATTTTAATAAAAATGTTTTGTTATACATGATTTATGAGTTATGACCAATTCTATAAAGTTGCGGTCGTAAATTAATAATTTATTTGTACTATACAATAATTGCTGTATAATTTTAGACGTGCTTATAAAAAAGCATATATATATATATATATACTAAATAACATTTACACTATTTTTTGGTTTTGAAAGACCAGTAGTATATAATATTAGCAATTTAGCACCATACAAATTCTCTAATTTTTATTTGCCAAAAAAAAAAAGTTTGCTACTAATTTTTTTTTATTACGTATAACTGGAAATGGTTTTTAAGCTAAAGTTCAATTTAAAAATTATTGTTTTAATCAATATAAAAATGTACACGGTAATATTTGTTAATACTTATGGTTAAATAAATGATTATTGGTTAAAACGTATTTTTCAAAAATATGGTTTTTAGCTATTTTTTTTCAAAAAATTATTATCTATTATATACTATTAGAATTTACCCATAAGGTGTACATTTTTTATTAAAAACTCAGACTATTCTATGAGTTTTATTATTTTTATGACAAGCTATAAAACAAATGTAAAATATTGCCATTAATTTAGATTTCAGTTTTTTTTTATAAATTACATTTTGTAAAGCATTATAGTATGCTTTAAGAAATTCTTATTTTACTAATAGCATTTTTTATTTTAAAAATAATGTTTGAAATTTGTAATATTTTTTTTTTTTTTGTGGAAAAAATGAGCTTATATTAACAAATCATAATTATTTGTCCAAACAATAATTTGTATTTACATTACATTAGTAGATCATGTTTTTACATATACTACTTTACAAATGAATATACGTATAGAGAAATTTTATATTAAAGTATAAGACTGTTCATCATCTTTATCAATACTGATGATAATGTAAGATTCGAGAATTCATACTTATTAACCCTTTTATTCATGTTTTTTATATTTTAGGATTTTAACTGAAAACATTATAAACTCTAATGATAATATTTTTTTTATAGTTTAAGGGATATTACTGCCTCTTTCTCCGGGGAGGTGTTATGAACCTTGAAAGTTTTGTCATTCAGACTTTATTATAAATGTGATTAGAGTCATTATTCACAAAATTCAGGTTTAAAATACAGTGTACGAGCATCCGTATACATTTTTCATATTTTTAGGTAGTATTAAATTAGTAAATTCGTATATAATAGTATGATAAAAGAAAAAAATATACCACATACATATATACATTTATGTTAAGTCTGTATGACGCTTTGATGATTTTAGATTGTAATATACATAAGACACCCAAGGGACTAAAGTTGAAATGGATTGCATGGTAATATATTATGTAGTTGGCATAAAAAGAGGCAATTAAGAGAAGTTTGGAATTGGGAGTAACGAAAGAAAAGTTACTGTAATAAAATGGTAACGATTTTTTATGTATTCCTTCTAGTGTATCGATAAGATACAGAAAACGAAATGCATTATCAAGGTGTGTATTTTCTTAAAATTAATTTACAAATCTTTTCAAATATTAGAATACATTGCTTCAATAATAATAATGATAATAATAATAATATTATTAGTTTCTCTTTGGTTATAATAACATTAATCGATATTTGTGTTTATAGAGAAATGGTTCAACACCACCGAGTATATTATATAGGTATACGATAAACTTTATCTAATTTCCAGACCTTAAACTTATAAACTATAAATATCAAGTGAACTTATATTAATTTAATAACTAACGTTCAAAAAATGATCAAAGTTCTCTTTTTCACTTGAATATAAACTCGAAAAAGAAAAAAATACTCAATGACGATGCAGGTTTTTAATTGGAAAGGAGAGAATGATAGCAAGTCAGGTCGAGCTTCCCTGAACCATACCAACATTGAGGGTACCTACACCTAAAAATGTTGACTGATTAGTTTTGAATAAATACCTATGTTTAGAATTATTTACGTTTTAGCAGGGTTGTTCTCCTTTGTTCAATAATTAACTAGATAGTTTATAAAAAAATATTATATGAGTAAATTAAATACCTCTACAGCGGCTGTTTTTAAATTAAAATAAGTTAAGTTTTGTAAATCAATAACAGTGTTGACATTTTGTTATTAAAATTATTTTTCTGTTAAGATGCTATTTTTTATGTATTTAGTTTTTTAAATAGCACTAGGCTATTATTTATATTATATCTTAAATAAGTATTTACAATTAATTAACATTTAACACAGTGTATTATAAAACATATATTGGAAAGGGCTTTAGCCTCCTTAGCCGTTACCTGCGTGCACAACTAAGTGCACTAAGTTATTTTTCTCGAAGAAATATTTTACGACTAAAATTTTATTGTTAAAAGGATAAATATTATATTTTTAAGCGCCTTTTTTACTTCTTATGAGATCTTTAAATCTATTTATTACCGTTTCCTTTTTTTAAAACACATGCAAGAATCAAATGTAGTACGGAACCAATTGTTAAATTGGCTTCATTATTACATTACATTATACATGAATGTTTTATAATAGTAGCAGATATATAAGGCATCAAGAGTTAAGTAGTTGAATTTATTATTTTGTTAATCACTTATATTATAGTATTAGATATTTTTTATGTTTTATTTATACTATATCTAGTCTCTAAATAATGATATAAATAAAAAAAGGTATGATTATATATTTTGATGAATATACCTACGCGTTTTATAATATTTTTTGTCTTGAATGTAATATAACATCGTCAGATGGAGTTATAATAGATTATTTTTACTCTGAAATTGAAAAAAAAAACCGAAAAAAATTAGGGTATTTTACTAGCAAAAAATTACCCTCGCCTTACGTTTTAAAAGGTGATTATCGGGTCACGCGTAATTTGATATGAGCTTTTATCATTCTACGGTAAAGTTTGAAAGAAAAAAATGGGTAGAGTAGAGAAGCAAAAACGGTTGAGGCGTCATATTCTAAAAATAATAAAAAAAGGTTATGAATAGAAGAAGAAGACCGAAAAACCAACAATTATTCGTTCAGGATGTTTTGTGCGGAAACAATAAAAAAAAATAAAAGTTCTATAGTAATAGCGTCGCATTATAATGTAGCGAATAGTTTCTATTATAATGTACAAACGAACAGGGTGGAATGTAAGGGAAAGCGTTTGAAAAAAATCTTACTTTAATTCTATTGATGCTCATTATCATAAGTAGGTTTGTCACCTCAGAGAGCCGTTAAAGACCATTCGGAGCTTCTCGCACACCACTGTAACTTGAAATGTGAATCCATTGCCGTTTGTCGATATTTATTAAGTCATTTAATTGCATTCGTTAAGATATTGCTTAGAAGTTAATAACTACCGTAATTATATAAAGGTAACTAAATTGCAAAACTAATTAAGATGTGCCCGATTGTTTAATAAATATTAAGGGGCAAAACACAGGCAGTTTTAATTATTATCAAAGTTATTTCAATTATGCTAATTAATTAAAGGGTATACAATTGTTATTTTTCACATATTAACGTATTTTAAAATTTGATTTTGTATGAGTTAACAACTTTTTATTACTTTATACAATTTTTAATATTTTATAGTCCACCACGATCGCTAATTTTTAATAAAATAATAACTTATGTCCGAAAAAAGTAGTTAAAAAATTCAGTTTTAGGTTTTTTTAAAAGGTTATTGCAGCGTTGGATATTTAAATTTAAAAATTCACCAATCATAGCGGACTACAAAATATTCTTTATATTTTATAATAATAATAAAATCAACTAAACCCAACCATTCTATGAGTCAGCTTTCTATTTCTGCGAATCGTGTTTTGAAGCAAAAAAAAAAAATTATGACATAGTTGTAAGTGTGCTTGTTAGTGACTTTAATTTAAACTTAATTAATTATGACTTACTTGTGTAGTGAGACTTGATTTTTAAAAATTAAATATATTTATAAAATAGTAATAACCTCTTTATTGATATATTATAATTTCCAGTTAAAAAATAACTTTTAATAGAGACGAGACTTCGTAGAATACGTTTGACTTATCAGACAACTTCCTTGTATTGTAAACTTGTTGTTGTTTAAGTTATAAACTTTTTATGAGTCTTAAAATTTCCTTTTAAAACCCGTTTTTTTGCTCTCTTTAAATGCGTTAAAACTTGCTTATCAAACAGATCATTATGTAAACATACTGATGGATTACAAATTTAATGATTTTACATTCGCTAGAACGAATCTTCTACACTGTTCATTACCAAGTACCTATAGAATACATAATCCAATTACCGCACGGTGTATATCCCTGTTAGTGCAAAGGTACTATTTTATTCGGAAGAATATTTCGAATACTGAGAAGCGTATTTTTAACATAACAAAACTGCCATTATGCTATGTATCGCTCTAAGCCATGTATTCATGCAATTATATCAGCAAAATAATATATTAATTATTTCAAAATGACAGCCAAGTCATGGTTCGTACTGAGATTATATTAATACACCGACGATAATCATAACTGATACTGTATGTGGAATAAAGTCAAAAAGTGCTAAGTGTCCTTAACACGTTTAAGGTGTTTTCCACCTAATACTATAGAGTTTATAATATTATACCTAAATATTATATTAATTATTATGTATGTAGAATTTTCAACGCTACATGAGACATCCTGTATAATAATATAGAGATTAAATATTTCTATAGCCAATATTTTAGTTGACCAAAAGCTTTTATATTAGCTAGGTATCAAATATGACCGTAATACGCTTTCTAACTACACGATAAATTCTCACGATATTATTGTTTAGTGATTAAGAACATATAGAAAGACGTACAAAATATTTATGAGTTGTGAGGTGTTTATGATTTACATACCGTTTTGTCATAGAGCAGTTGAATTTTGCAGTCTAATTGCACTGTTGACCCTATACGTGCGGTTACGTTAACAGGACCCGGGCCGTCCTCGAACAACGGAGACCACCTTGATCCAGCTTCATGAAGGTGGTGGTCGTTATCATCAACCAAATTCGCTTCCATTGTCACTTGTGCAGTAGTACTCGAAGTAGTAGAAATATTTTCTAAAAAAACAAACCACATAAAAATAATGATAACAGTTGTCATAATTTTTTTTACCAATTAATTAAAGTATTACTATAATAGTAAACTTTATTAAAACGTGAGAGAAAAATATGGCGTTATATAAAAAACCAAAATGAAAATAAATTATTGCTAAGTTTATTAACTTAACTTTTAACTTTTAAGGATTATTTTGCTTTGTATTATTGTGGAATTTATATTCTTTGCCCCACTTATACCGTTGGTAAAAACGCGTGGGCCGGTTGCAAAATTTCCCACCTGGTAACAGTCTGGGAAAAAACAAAGTTTGCTAAAGCATAATTATAGTAAATACAGTGCGCCTGATTTGTTCTCTAATCATTTGCGTGCCTACATAAAATAAACCTTTATTTATTAATTATCAAACTTCTTATAAAGATTATGCTTTTCATAACTTGAAAATAACTTACATAACAATTTTGACTTAAGGCGAAACTTTTTCATTAAAAAAAAAAAAAAAACAATACCAGTATTTTCGAGTTCAAACTGCCAAATTAAAGCACTGCAAATTTACAGTAATAGTTAAAATAAATACACGTTTTGTGTTCTTAAAATAGTGTTACAATAGTTATAAATACATTGTGTACTACTATCATAAAGTGAAATCAATAAATTGTAATATTGGATAAATTATGCATAAAATCCTTCTTTTGACAATTTTTTAATCAATAACTTTACTTAAAAAAAAAATGTATCGAAATTATATTTTTTTAAAATTGAATGGTGTGTAAAACTTCTTTTTATAGTAAGTGTATTAGGTAGTTTAGAACATTTTCATTGTGTTAAGTAACTTTAAGGTCCAAAACACGTGTACTAGGTTTTTTTGTAAAATCATCTTCTTTCAATTTACTTAAGTTCCTTAGAGTCATTTATACTTAAAATTACTCATGTACGACGGAAGTAAAGGTAATTGTATTAAAACCCGTGTATGCGATGACACGTTTATTATACTACTCGTCATCTGGTAGGCTTAGTATGCCGGCACTCAGCCATGAAAATAAGATTAAACGAGACGAAGTTCAATTTCCACGTCTGTCTAAAACATGTAAGGTCTATTCGTCAAAAATTGAATTAAAAACGCTTTTACGACTACCGGGTCTAAGACGTTCGCAAAAATATTAATCTGAAATCGTCAGTGCGTGTTTGGTATATACACTATAACACTGTCATTAACACTTGAAATAATTGAATGAACGTGAAAAATGTGTTTTCTATTAAATTTTTTTGTTGATAATAGTTTTGTATTTAATGAAATGTAGTGTTATGAAAAATTGTTTACATACATTTTTAAATTAAACAGCACTATCAGAACTATAAATAAATTAAGCTGAAAAACAAAATATGACAACATAATTTCATAGTTAAATTAACTGAATAAAATAGTATTTTAGGTTATATTATTATCTCATATAATCACATTTGAGCTAGAGTATTCATCGATTGGACGCTTAAGAACATTCATTATTGATTTTTTTAGAAAATTTATCTTTAAAAAAAAATTTGAAAATAAACGTAAATTTTGTTTATACTTGATGTTTAGGTAATACTTTTTTTTTACTTCTTTAGTAGAAACTGTTGTACATTTTTATCGGTGTTACTATTTTAAATAAATAGCTTATAAACGTAAAAAAACAAAGGGTAATTAATTCCAGGCATTGATTTTTTTAATATATTGACTGTCAACCGAAGTTAATGCGTGTATGATTTAACGACCTCTATCTGCCTAATAAAGTACGGGAGTCGTATTTTTATTACATTAGCATTAATGATATTATTATAAGTGTCATTTACGATTTGTGAAAAGAATCCAGTTTTTACCATGGTAATTAACTCATCTAATATAATTGAAAACGAAATGATGCATTGGTTTTTTTTGCAGAAAATGCGTTCTATCAGTTAGTGCAGTCTGCACTGTTTAGGTCCGTAAGCGAAATCAATTTTAATGACAAATTCTTAAGCAGTAAACACACGGCAATTTGATAAAGATAAATATTTTATTATAGTTATTATTATTTTGATTTTAGAAACATTATCTAAATGACTGCGTTGTAATAAATTCAGAAATACTTATAGATTTCACTTTACCGTTTTAATTAATAAAATAATTTTAAATTTTAACTTTTGAGTTGCGTTTTATTGAAAATGTACCGATAATAATTTTTTAACTTTTAAATACATAAATGATTTGGCATCTTACACACTTTTCAATTACAACACGATCAATGGTTAAAATTATTAATATTAATTTTTGAGAGATGATTCGTTGTGTTAGTAGGTTATAGTATAGTTGTATAATAAGTAATTATAATGAAAAACCAGTGGTGATGAAATGTATCTTGCGATACTATATATAATAGTTTACTGAAGTACGTTTAATTAATATATGCGCCAAAAAAGTGAAAAACATAAGATGTGTATTGGATCTAGGCTAGCTAATCAGTTTATTTCTATTTTTTGATACTACACCAATGTTATGGGATGGAATAGGAAACTGTATCGATTCCAACTCGGGTTTGAGGAAACCATTAACTCGACATAGTTGTTAAATTTTAGGAAACATTCCTGGTAACACTAAGAATAGTTTAGAAGTATACAATAATAACTATAATATAGTTGTTTCAAAAGTTAAACGTTTATGTACAAACACTTTGTTCCAATCGAATGGAGCAGTTGTCCCTTAAATGAGTGGGTGTTATAAGTGTTATAAGTGCTTAACACTTGAATCGCTTCATGCAAAAAGGGCCTAAGTCACCATTTTATCAAAAACGTGATTATTACAGATTCGTTATCACTTTACTTAGACTCATCGAATTATGTTAAAAAAAAATTTAGTCCCATTACCAGAAATCTATAATAATAAAAAGATTTTTGTAAAAAAGGGATAAGTCCACTATACTTAAATGCTAATAATCTGGACTGCATTTGAAAATAATTACATTGTTTTACAGAATGTAATTTTACTGTTTAATATCTATTAACACTAATAAAGCCCGTATATGTTTATGCATTTTGAAACATATCAAACGTTTTTTCATTTTTCCAAAAGTTTAAAGTTAAGGACTAAGGCCCTTTTTGCATCAAACGATTCACTTATCAGCTAAGTTTCAAACTTGAGGTATACCAATTATTCATGTTGACTTTTGAAAAATAAAAAAATATAATGATTACTTGTCGCTTTTTAAAAATAATTTTGTTCAAACTAAATTTTTACAAACGACTTGATAAAACAATGATGTGGTTTTTCTATTACCAAATAATTAATTATATTTAAAAAAAAAATTAATATTAAGTTACACCGTGGTGGTATTATTCATTAACTGATTATCTGCCAAAGAAAAGAATATTAATTGTACATTATATAGTATTCAAATTGTAATATTATTATATTGAATTTATAAAAATATGTACTTCAAAATTGGAATTCTGTGTACTCAAGTTACATATTTTCTAAAAAGAATAATGCGTCACTTTTTTTATTAAGGAAACCCCATAAAAATCGAAAAATTACACCTTCGCCGTAGTAAATTTGTAGGTTACTTTGTGAGAGTGAATCGATAATCAACTGGTACCACACAAATATTTCCATTATAGTCATTATTAATTATGTATATTATGTATGTATAAATATATTGCTACCATTTACAGATTTGTATAGAAGCATTTATTTGAAAAATTATTTTATTACTTTTAGTTATAATTCCTGTAAACCGGTGACCTCCTTCGTCCCAATATGCCCTGACTTACAATTCCATGACCCCAGTTTTGTGTGTTATTTTAATACAAGTTCTCTTTAACATTCATGTTTTAAACAACTATTTTGAAGCGATTGCAAAAGACATTGCATTTTATTTTTGCACTGCTGACGATATAAAGTTAAGGAAGTTTTAATGAAGAATTTCATAATGAAGTGTTTCACGAATTTTGTCATTAAAATTCTATTCAAGACGACTTCACGAACGATTGCATGCTTATGGAATAGATTAAAAATTAGGTCGGTAGACGGTGATCAAAAAGTTGCATGTCTCTAAAATTCAGAGTATGTATTTACGACATTCTGTTTTACTTGGCAGTTGCAAACCACTAAAATATAATGTCATTCTTAATCGCTTTTTATGTTACATATATCTAATGTTATAATCAATGTAAAGTATGTTCTGCGTAAAATATTTTACATGTAATTTATGACTTAGGTACATAATTTGTGTTTTTATGGAAAAAAAAACAAAAGTATAAATAATATGTATCAATTGACATTGTTTTTTAATGGCAATGTGTTCATTTTACAATAAATCTCATTTATGTTTATCAGGCAAGTATATATTTAGTATATTCATTTGGATTAGTTGAAACTTTTATCAAAGACTAACATCGATACCATAGCTGGAATGAATAAACTTCATTGGATGCTGGCCAAATTGAAAAATGTTAAAAGTTTTTGGCAATACAATTATTAAGTCTAAATCCAATTTACTTGTTTTAATAAGTATATTAAATATAACATTTTAGTATAAATAGTATTGTAATAATAAATTATATAAACTGGTAGAAAATTTAAGTATAGTTAAAAAAAATCTGTTTATTAATGAAATTAATAGAAGGTAGCCAACAACATCAATTATTTCTTAAGCGAATGTTTTCTAAACATAAAGTTGTGTTTTATTGTTAATACACATATTATAATAAAATAACAATAACAATTGCTTAAAAGCAATTATTAAAGTAGATTTAGAACAGACAAAAAATGTATGTTTTAAAAAAAAAATACTTACCATATATTGTTTAGTGTTTTTAAAATAATTAATATACATTGCTAGGGTTTACTAATTTGGTAATAAAAAAACACTAGTAACATTTAATTCAAAATGTGTTTTGTAAAAAAAAGTCTAAACTATTTAGTGTTTTGGATTTTTTTTTTACCAATTTGTTAGCACTTCCTAACCTAACTTGAGTTTACTTTACAAAT